AGGAAGACTGGAAAGCAAACATTTTTCTTTTCCAGCTCACTTTGTCCTTCAAACAGGGCAAGAGAAGAGAGACGGGCCAGATGGGGCCGGCTTTCTCTTTCTTGCTCCTCAGGGCGTAATCTGGAAGTGGGGAAAGTCACCGGCTTTGCTGCGATCTCGCCTTCTGGGGACTGGAAACAAGGATTTCCTAAAACCAGCTTCCTGGCTTAACAGTCTTTAAAGAATCCTCCTCGGGAGGCCTGGGCAGTGTTTCCCCCCCCCATGCCCAGCAGAGCAAGGTTTGGGGGTGGGGGGGTTGATGGCAGGTAAAGCAGCAGAACGGGTGCCCCTTGATGGTGAGAGGGAGGGATCCTGGCCACTGGGCATCTAAGGTGCCACACCGGAGCCGCCTTTGAGAGTCTTGGCGGCATCCTGCAAACATGAGATTTGTAGTCTGTAGTCTGTGCTGCCATGTGGGGAGCTTCTAATGGGGGCAGGACCCAGGAGAGGAGAAATCCTGGGCCTTGTGGAAGGCCAGCCATCGGGTTGATGCAATGATGTCGCTTCAGGCCGCACTGCGGGATCTACCCTCGGTCAGGGAAGGGCGCTGGGCCCCTTGACTCCAGGGGGTTCAGCCGGGATGGTGAAACCGGCCGCAGCCGAGTTGATTGAGGGCGCGTAGATGCACCCTGGTGAGCAGCGCGCAGAACTGGGGCTTCATAGGGTCCCTGCCCTCAGCTGCAGGCCGCCTTCTTCTTCGGGGGGGGGCATCCCCATCGCCAACTGAAATGGATACGGAAAACCTGCCCCGAGTAGGAGTGGGGAGCCCTGCCCCTCCTCGAAGAGGAAGAGATTTCCAGGAGGACCACTTCTGGCAGAGAGGCAGCCTGCTGAGGAAGGGTGCTGTGTAGCCAGGGAAGCTGGCGCTGAACCAAGCCCCCCCCACACACACACGGGGGGGGGGCAGGAATCCCTCCCTCCTCGTCCCCCTCTGTCGCCGTCCTCAGGCTTTGCCCTGGATGCTCCTCAAAGGCTTTGGAGGAGGAGGAGGAGGAAAGGGTTCCCCCTCCTTGGAAGCCACTGGTCTCCTTGCCCTGGAGGAGAACCAGAGGCCCGGGGCCCGCCCGGCCTGCCTGCCTCCATCCTGGCCGTGGAGTTGGACTTTGAGGAGGAAAGGGTTCCCCCTCCTTGGAAGGTCCTCCTTGGTCTCCTTGCCCTGGAGGAGAGCAAGAGGCCCGGGGTCCGGCCTGCCTGCCTCCCTCCCTTGTGGCCATCCTGGCCGTGGAGCTGGACTTTCCTAAGCGGGGCCCGAGGCT